GTTGAAAAATACTGAAGCTGGGTGATAGGGACATGGGATGGGCTCCTTAATACTCTTCTGTTTACTTTGAATATGTTTGAAATTGCCCATGACAGAAAGTTCAGAAACACCAAAAATTTGTTTAAAAGGAGCATGAACAAAACTGGGGAGGTCTTGGGTGGCTGTGTACAGTTTCTTACTTGCCTAACTCATAATGAGCAAATAATGTTGGACACAGACCTTCACAAGATGCTTTCTGCTCCTAATTTAGATTCTCAGCCATGAATGCTGGACTATGAGCCTTTTCTCCCAACATCAGATCATCAAATGATGTCTCTACACCCTTTRCAGAGTTTTATGTCCCCTTAGAATTTCTAACCCCCCATATCATGAATTAGACTTCTTACTTACAAGTGGACTAGGGGTGACTTGAACAGACAAGGTGAAAGAAAACACAGTTCTGTAATTAAGAAAACTGGCTCTGGTGTCAGACTATCTGAGTTTTAGTTCTAGTTCTACCACTGATTAGCTAGGGAACCTGCAGGTCATTTTGGCTAAAGATTCTTCTCAGATGAATTTCAGACTAAGAATGAGAAAAATCAATAGTTATTTCCTCTAATTTAAATTCTTAGATTTTTACAAATATTCAACTTTTTCTCTCTTTTTTTTTTTTTTTTTTTTTTTGTGGTATTGGGGATTGAACCCAGCGGTGCTTACCACTAAGCCACATTCCTAACTCTTTTTATTTTAAGACAGGGTCTAAGTTACCAAGGTTGGCTTCCAATTTTTGATCTTCCTGTCTTAGTTTCCTGAGTTGCTGGGATTACAGGTATGCATGACCATGCCTGGCCTATATCAACTTTTTAAAATGAAAGATAATGCAAATAAAAAATAAACCCCAAGGTTTGTTCCCTCAACTAACTATGAAATCCATATCTGATAAGACCCATAACTAAGGTGCAAAGTGCATAGTCAAGGACTGGGGATATAGCTCATTTGGTAGAGTGCTTACCTTGCATACACAAGGCCCTGGGTTCAATCCCCAGTACACCCCCCACACACACACACACACAAACAAAGCATAGTCAAATATCAAGAAGGGGAGAAATGAAAACCTTACTGGCATACATGCTTAATAAGCATTCAATTTTCTGTACGCCTGACTATGAATACTCTAATTTACCAACACAAATTAACCAAAATGCTATAGCAAGGCAAGAACTAATTTCTCCTTTAATGTCCCTCCTGGTCAGAAAAATCTCTCATCATTTTGTGAAACAGATTATTTAACTTACATAAGTCTCTAGGCAGGAAAGGCCATAAGCATGACCAATGGGGATAACCAAGACAGAACTAGGCAGAGAGCAAGGGCAACTTCTTCAGGTATCTCCGCTCTATTTACCTCTAGCTTATATTRTCAACATTGCTTTTTTCCAGAAATATCAATCTTACCAGGCAGAAATCCCAAAGAGAACAGTAACAAACTGTTAACAATGTTATCTACAGAAACAAAAATCCCAGCATGACAATCTTATGCCATGTCTCCTAAGAGAGGACAAACAGAGGTCCTCCTCAGCTGTGCCAGGCAATGCCCACCAGGATGACAGACAGGAGGGCCCTGCTGGGGTAAACAAACATCACCAACAGAATAACACACTAGGCACTCTCCAAAGGTCAGGCCAAGTGTGCCAATTAAATTAGATCATGTTTTCCTTCCTTCCTTCCTTCCTGTTATATCAGAAAGAACATTACCAAGAAATACATGAGGATAATTTATTTTGGCTTTGAATGAACTATCCCTACCCCCAACCTCAGTTCAACTTTTTATCTTTTGGTTTTGCTCTGTATAATCTCAGGTATTTTTATCTTTTGGCTTTGCTCTGTATAATCTCAGGTATTTCAGTTATTTGAGAACAACAACAAAATTAATTTAATTTTTACTAGATCAATGCACATTTCACTAGGAAKGATTAGAGATGAAGTATATGCTCAAGACCCCAGTTCTCTCAACAGAAGAAGCAAAACTTGCATTGAGTAGGAGTAAAGAAGTATTGATAAGATAGGTGTGGTGGTGTATGTCTGTAATTATAGTGACTTGAGAAGCTAAGGCAGGAGATCGGCAAGATTAAGGCCACCCTCAGCAACTTAGCAAGACCTAAACAATTAAGCAAGACCCTGTCTCAAAGTAAAAAATAAAAAGAGCTCAGGATGTGCCTCAGTGGCCCTGGGTTCAATCCTCAGTACCAAATAAACAAACAAAAAAAGTGTAAAGAAAAAGAAAGTCAACAAAGTCGCCCAGAATCATCTYTATTACAAAAAACACAGAGCACTTTCCTGACTTTATGAAAGTATTTATCTTCTCTTAAATAAGTATTACTACTATCTATAACCCAATGACTGTTAGAGATGGAAAATACCAAAAAAGCAACTGGACAGATCCAGGCTCATCTAAACAAGCCATAACTTTAGTCCTTTTCCTAGATGCTTACCTATACAAAAACAATCCCAATTATAGGTACCAAATCAGACCAGAGATGAGACAGGAGCTACAGAGGTTCATCTGGAGCAAGAGAAAAACAACTTTCCCTTGTATCTTATGTTTACTACAAGTAATCAAATCTTTCCAATTTAAGATAAGCATTCATTTCTCATTTCTTAACTACCATTAATTTACAGATATCACTAACTATGAGTTATTTTTAATTTTTTTTTTTTTTGCTAAAGGTTTAGAATGCCTCTCTACCTGATACACCAATGTGTACTTGTCTCAAAATGAAATTCACCTTATATGAAATCGCACTTTTAAAAATACTGCATTCTGGGGCTGAAGTTGTAGCTCAGTGGTGGAGTGCTTGTCTTGCATGCATGGAGCCCTGGGTTCTATACTCAACACCACATGAAAATAAAAATAAAAAAATAAATAAATAAATAAAAATAAAGATATTGTGCCTATCTACAACTAAAAAAAAAAAATTTAAATTTAAAAAATTTTAAAAAAAGAATGCTGCATTCTGGGCTAGGGTTGTAGCTCAGAGGTACAGCACTTGCCTCACACATGTGAATCTCTGTGTTCAATCCTCAGTACCACATAAAATAAATTCATATAATACATATAATGATACTGTGTCCATTTACAACTAAAAAATATTTTTTAAAATGCACCTCTAATTCATAATAGTGAATTTAATAAGCACCACTATAATCACAGAACAATTACAGAAGTCACCGAAGGGGTAAATGCAACTATTTGATGATGCTTAAGAGAAATGCATGAACAGCACTTACATTTGTTTACATAAACACTGAGCTGCTGAGTTTCATAGCAGCTCCCAGGGACAGTTAGCCAAAATCTACCAATGATCTTTTCATGGGGAGATGAAAAGATTTGGAATGACAGATTAAATGACCTTTAGATTTTGGCCATCAAATCAGTGCTGTGCTGCTCAATCAGCACAATAAAGTCCTGTCAAGTTCACAACTCAGGCTAACAGGCTGTTCTAAGCCTGTTTCAAACACGAGCAACAGAAACCTCAACTGCTCACTTCCAAGCACCCTCTTCCACCTTTAACCTTGAAATCTAGGGATCTGAAGAACATGGTTGGAAAATCACTATACTAAATACAGAGGAGAAAAACAGCAAAGCGGAGTTAAGATCTCTATTTTTATTTTTATTTTATTTTAAAGAAAATGTCTGGCTGATTTCTCTTGGGTAAGATACATGCTGGAGTTTGCTTCCAARTGTCTGTGTATCTCATTTTTCTGGTTTCCCTACCCATTTCCTCCCAATCTTCTAATTAGTCTAGTAAACCGTGGTTAATGTGGCTTTCCCAGCTAGAATCCATTGACTAAGAATAAGAAATATGGACTCTGGGAAAGAGCTGGCTATAAAACACCATCAGTAAATAGCTCAAGTGCATACACTACTGTAGCCGCCACTTTGGGTTTGAAACCCTAAACACTAAAGCATAAAACCTACTTTAAAAAGCTTTTATCTATTAGAAAACAATCTTTAAAAGTAGATGCCCTAAACTGTTAATCAATAGTGATCTCTGAGTGGCCAGACTGTAAACCAAAAAATTTTTTTCCCCATGGTACTAGGGATTAAACCCAGTGCCATTTTATCAATGAGCTACATTTCCACTTCTATTTTTTTTTTTTGAGACAGATATGATATTACTAAGTTGCAGCAGTTGGCCTCAAATTTATGATCCTCCTGCCTCAGACTCCTAAGTGGCTGAGATTATACACATGCACACTACCATGCCTGGCAAGATTTTTTTTWATTATTATTTATATTTTAAAATTTTCTACAACTCATACATTACCTTTTTTGTTTAGCTTAGTTAYTATACTTTATTTATGACTTCTACCACAGTTTTGATGTCTCAATATCAAAAAGTTGCAGACTGGGGCTAGGGCTGTAGCTCAGTGGTAGAACACCTGCCTTGCATGTATGAGGCACTGGGTTCGATCCTCCTCAGTATCACATAAATAAATAAAGATATTGTGCCCATAAAAAAACAATACATATTTTTTTAAAAAGTTGCATATGGTAGCTGAAGTGTTTTCTCTTCTTTATGCTTTACAAGTTTCAAGGAGTCCTAAAAAATGCCTGAAGAAAGTTTCCTGATAATCCCATTCTCCCACTTGAAGGCTTCTTCCTGAAGTGCTGGTGCAGTATATGAAAATGCACCAAATGCCATATGGCCAGCATCCTAGCAAAGGGCACTCAGCCTCCTCATCAGCCAAGGAGATTCTGTTACAAAGCAGTCTAGCACAGTCAGCATGTCTGGAACAAATGCTATTACAGACAGGTCTCAGAGTCAACCTGGGAGTTCAGCATGCCATCTTGGTCATAGGAACCCTGGGGCAAACCAGATCCTCTTATTTTTCTGTAGAATAGTTTAGCAAATGGGAGTAATTACCAAAAAATCCACTATACTACAGTAGTTTTACACCCAGATAGGTGGAGTAGAGCAGACCTCAATCACAGGAAGTTAGTATTTCAATATTACGCTCACCTTTGTGGCCATGGTCTTCACCCCATGAATTTTCCACTCTCCATTTCACAAATACACCATCCTGATCATCCTGTAAAAAAGCAGATGGAAGTATAAAATCTGAAACTAGATTTCCCTTCCTAGGGATGGGGAGCGTCATGCAATTTTAGCTCYTTTGTGGCCACTCAGAATAAAACAGCCTGCTCTACACAGCTATAATGTACATGATCAGAGCCACATTTCTTGTACTATCACTAAAAGGATACTCCAATAGAGTAGAGTTTGAATCTCTTGGGATAAAAATACAATAAAACTAATAAGGCAATAAATACTATCTTCTCATTTACATTCTATTCTATACGGAAAATAAATGTAAAAATGCTGCTTGGCTAGGAAAATAAAAATTACTTTTATTAAAATACTATAAACATTGAACACCATTTGAAGCCAAGGACTCTTGCTTTTAATCAATCAGAATTCCCTGAAAAGGCATCCCATTGCATTTATTTTAGAAAAAATTCTAAGACTTGTTCAGAGTTTTTTAAAAAACAAAATAAACATATTCTCATCATAATACCTGATTTTCTATTTAGAGAAACCAAGTAATGATACTCTCTTAAGTGTGTTCTTTTACTGATTCAGTTATACATATATTGAATTTAATATAACAGAGATTGAATGGCAAGGCAGAAATAAAAAGATCATTTTCATAAACAAAACCCAGGTGGTTCTACTGTTATCCCTCTTTTATCTTTATTAATAAAATAAGCTCAATTTTCATCTTCTTAAAGGGACAGCGATACTCATCATGATAACTTATATTTATAGCTTTTATTATAATGACAGAGAAAAGGACAAAAGGAAGGCTCCATTTGGGAAAAGACTTTTCTCTGTCACGTTTACCCAGAACATTTGCTAATGTCAAAACAACTTAAATCTTCATAGCACAAGAAGAGTGCTGAGCCTTGCATTACCTCCTAATGATTTCTTCTGTCAACTCCCACTTGCATATCACTGCATGATGAGTCTTATCTACCTGGAATTTGGTTTCCTTTGGCTTTGCTGACCTGAACTCTCTACTCTTAGCAATTTTCTTAGATTTCATTATTTTCAGTCTCAGATTCAGCCAACAAAGAAACCCACAAGTTTCACACACTCTTATCAGTACACTAACAGCATTAAACTGTACATTCTGAGGCTGGCATACTAAATGTCTGTTTTGGCTTTTAATTTTACTCATTGTAGTCCATCTTCACTTTCCTTTTAAATATCTCCATTAAAATCTAKCTCATCTAGGGGCTGGAGTTGTGGCTCAGCAGTAGAGTGCTCGCCAGCACATGCAAAACACTGGGTTCAATCCTCAGTATCACATAAAAATAAATAAAATAAAGGTATTGTGTCCAACTACAACTAAAAAAAAATATTTTAAAAAAATCTATATCATCTAAAGTCATTTATTTGTTATCATAAGTCTGAAAATGCTTATTATTCTTTACTTAGCCAATGAATTTTTATATGACCTAGAATAAGTTGTTCTTTGGATCTGCAAATCAAGAATGATAATACCTGCACCTCCTACATAGGGATTCTATGAAATTAGAAACCAAGAAAGAATATTGCAGAAGTAAAGCTATTGTTATGCACGAGATAAGTGCATTATTGTATTACTTTTGTTGTTGCACCAGGGATTGAAACCAAGTGCACTTTACCACTGATTTACATCCCTAGCCCTTTTTATTTTTTATTTTGAGTCAAGGTCTCGCCAAGTTGCTTAGCCCCCAACTAAATTGCTGAGGCTGGCCTTAAACTTATGATCCTCCTGCCTCAGTCGGCAAAGTTGCTGGGATTATAGGCATGCACCACCATGCCTGCTATTAAAATGTATTTCAAATTAGTTTTAGTAGTCAAAACTCTTAGTGGGGGGACAAGAAATACTGCAATATAAAATTTCAGTTATCATATAAATTCTACTTTATACTACTAGTATGAACCATACCAAATAACAGAAATTTCAAAGAAAATGATGTGGAGTATTAATGATTTTTATTTCTGAATAAAAATATAAATAACACGGATAGAAAATACAGAAAATTGAAATTATCTTGGAAATTACAACAGGTTTCTTTGCCTTTTTAAAAAATATTTATTTTTTAGTTATAGGTGGACACAATATCTTTATTTTATTTTTAAAATAAAGTGCTGAGGATTGAACATAGTGCCTCATGCATGCTAGGAGAGTGGTCTAACTCTGAGACACACCCCCAGCCCCTCTTTGTCTTTTTAAAAATCAGCCCCCTATATAATGTAAAATTTTAACTTAAGGGACTTTTTAAAGTTTAATTACAAATCCACTGAATTTTATAATACAGCAGATCTGAACATAAATATGAAAAAATTATCTATAATAATTAATTCATGAAAAATTCCTCCCACTGTTTGCTTCTAATGCCAAAACGGCACCCTTATTTAAAATCCCTTTTGCTTGGCATGATGACACATGCCTTTAGTCCAAGCACTTGGGAGGCTAAGGCAGGAGGATTGCTTAAGCCCACGAGTTGAATCCAAGGTTTGAGATCAGCCTGGGCAACACAGTGAGACATCACCTCAAAAAACAAAAATAAAAAACAAAACCCMAAAAGTTGGAATAAAATGGGGAAAAGCTAGTAAAAGACCTTCTTCTAGTGGTGCACCCCTGTAATTCCAGCAACATAGGAAAAYGAGGCAAAAGGTCTTCAAGTTGGAGGGCAGTCTCTGCAACTCAGGGAAGCTCTAAGCAACTTAGCAAGATTTTGTCTCAAAATAAAAAATAAAGCCAGGCACAGGTGTAATAGCACATGCCTGTAATTCCAGTGGCTTGGGAGGCTTGAGGCAGGAGGATTGTGAGTTCAAAGCCATAATTAGGGCCTCAGCAACTTAGGGAGGTCCTAAGCAACTCAGTGAGATCCTATTTCTAAATAAGAATATATAAAAGGGGGTTGGGATTGTAGCTCAGTGGTAGAGCACTAGCATGTGTGAAGCACTGGGTCTGATCCTTAGCACCAAATAAAAACAAACAAACAAATAAATAAATAAATAAAGGTATTACATCCGTCTACAACTAATAATAATAATTACTATAATAATAAATTGTGACCACCAAAAACATTAAAAAAAAGAATATAAAAAAGGATTGGAGATGTGGCTCAGTGGTTCAGCACCCTTGGGTTCAATCCCTGGTACCAAAAGTAAATTAAAAAATTAATTAATTAATTAATAAAAATGCCTGGGTATGGTGGCACATTCCAGTAACTTTGGAAGCTGAGGCAGGAGGATCCCAAGTTCAAAGTCAGCCCCAGCAATTCAGTAAGACCCTAAGCAACTCAGGGAGACCCTGTCTCAAAATAAAAAATAAAAAGGGCTAGGGACGTGACTTAGTGGTTAAGTACCCCTGGGTTCAATGCCCACTATCCTCCTCCCCCAAAGTAATGTAAAATAAAAAGGTATACCTCAGTGGTAAAGTATCCCTGGGTTCAATAATTTGTACTTTTTATTTTGTTTATTATTAAAATGTGAGAATTTTATGAAGTTGGGGTAATAAGATTTTCAAATCACCTTCTGTTCTTCTGAAATGATTTTTCATGATCTACAAAGATAATACCAATTATGCTCCCCACATTTTTCTGTTTCGTGGTATGAGAATATCACTAACCAGAGCTGAAAAGAATGTAATGATGAAGACAACAGCTCCATGGTTTATTAAGATCTCAACTTTCATATTTATTTATTTATTTATTTTCAATATTTTAATTTTACATTTGTTTGGTGCTGAGGATCAAACCCAGTGCCTCRTGCATACTAGGTGAGCACTCTACCACTGAGCCACAACGCCAGCCCTTATATTTATTTATGAAAACTATAGGACAATTAGGAAATATCAGCACAGGATTTGCCTAATTAGTTCAGGATACTTTATAAATCATACCATGTATAATCTCATGTAAAACTGAGACTATCTCAGAATTCTAATAGTTAAAGCCCTATTTTGTAAAAATATAATTAAGATTTCCTTAAGATCAGGTTTTAAATGGGACAGAGTCAAGGATCTACATTCTATGAAGTCAGCAGGATACCGTTAAGTGAAATAACTGGAAGAGGTGGGAGGAAGTTACAGAGAGAAAACTCCATCCCACTCACAATTTTGCCTACAGATTACACAAAATAAATCAGAACTCTAGGTAGGCTAGAAGAATTAAAATAACTCAAAAGATTAAACAAACAGTCCCTGGGTATAGGAGTAAAATATTGATTCTATAGCCTGAAAGTAAGGAGCTTATTTGTGAAAGATAAAATTTTGGTTGTTTTTTTCCAACACTGTATCCTAGAAATAGTAATATTACTATTCAAAATATTTCATAACAAATTTGAACTACTTTATTTGAAATTTGAACTCCAATTTTGAACTCCAATTTCCTCAAGATCTGCATAAATCTTCAGTAATATGCATGGAATCCACAAATTTATTATTAACATCTTACCACAAGAAAAACTGACTAACAAATGCAAGGAAGATATGAACACATTCAGGGGATATTCAGTGAGGCACTGGGTTAGTCTCAGCACTGCATATAAATAAATAATTTATAAAAATAAATCCTTATAAAAAGATCAGTTATCTTCTCCTAAGTTCCTCTGATGACCTTTCTTCACACCAAGACCTTTCAAAGTTACAGAAAAGCAGTTACTTTCTTACTCGCTACTGACCCAAATTCTGCTCTCATGGAAAGTTCCTATTTTTATTACAAACTCCAAGTGACACAGGTACAATGTCTTACTTGGAAGCTAACTTTTAACAGAAATCATATACACCATGAATGAAGCTCTGCTGGATAAGCAGTCTGCAGAAGAATGTGGCTCCATCTGTGCAAACACTGCAGTGGGCATGCTGAGGGTCCTACCTTCTCTGAGAAAGCAGTGAAGGCCATGGCGTGGGTCATAAGTGACTCACCAAAAGCCAATCTCTCGGCTTTATTCATGTTCTTCAAGGAGACGCCAAACACTAACTCATGGTCATAGCTGTAAAAAGAATAATAGTATAAAATAAAGGTACTACAATGATGGCTTCCAACTATAAAAGGAATGAAATAGAAACCAAAGAGGCTCAACAGCTCCAAACAAATACAGGATTATCAAGTTGTAGTTTTTCACAGAAAGTACGCATATGCAAAATTTAGTCTCTCAAAAGGATTCTCTTCTTAATGTATCACAAGAGTATGAAGAAAAATATGCAATAATTAAAGATAAATTCCCGGTGCTGGGATTGTGACACAGTGGTAGAGTGCTTGCCTAGCATGTTTGAGACACTGGGTTAGAGTCTCAGCACCACATATAAATAAATAAAATAAAGGTCCACTGACAACTAAAAACTACCAAAAAAAAATATATACATATATAAATTCCCTATATCAAATGTTAACAAGATCAGTTTGTATTGACATTTTGGCAAGAAAAAAAATTTTTTTAAAGTAAAAAAAACTTTTGAAGAAACTTCTTAAAAAAGTGTTCTGTTTTGGGCTCACAGAACCACCCAGTTTATAAATTCATTTAAACAACTGTTGACTGTGAAATTTAAATAAACAATGCCAAATATATTGGAGACCGTTTTCAAAATTAAAACAAAACAAAACAAAAAAAAACCTCATTAATTTTCTCTTTAAGTAATTTCTTTTCTCTTGTTAACCCTCAAGATATTTACTCAACTTCCTTGTAACAATTACTTGTAAGTAATAACTCTAAAATAGTATATTTTAGCAGTCAAGGAATCTTGTATGAGTTAGTCTGCAAATGAGCCTTCAATGTCATAAAGGACAGAAGAAATACTTTAAGGTATGTACATGAATTACTCCTACTTGTCAAAAAGACAAAATACACAAAGCATCAAAATAAGAAAAGCAGTTTAAAAAGGTACAATTAGCACCCAAGAGCTCATTACATTCCCAAGTGCACTGAGCAGATATACACGGTAATCAATTGTTCACTTTTTCTCAAAAGTCTTTCTTACATGAAATAACTTTTTAGAAAGACCAGTGGCTTCTGCTAAAATATGATCTTGATTTCCTGGGATAGTCCAGTTAAGTGTATGAAGTTTCTGCTATGAGACCTCAAATGTACATGATGCAAAGAAAGAGACCTACCCTTAGAGTAACCTTAATCTTTGGATAACCTCAGCAGAGTCATTTGGTAACAAGAATGACTCCAATAGCAACAACCCACAAATAACTTTCTATTTTAAATTTCCTGCACTCACACATTCATGTCACTGAGGCCCAGCTTGCCATTGAAGTGTTTTCCAACATCACAGCCAAACCACACAGCCTAGAAATAAAAGAGGAAGAAAATAAGTCAACATAGATCCTATTTTCCTATTATACCAAAGTAGTAAAAGAAGGCATTTTAACTCCAATGTGGAAGACAAAAAATACAATACCAACCTCTCCATCTTTGATGGAAGCAGCAACCATCTTTTTCAAGAAGTCAATAGGCTGGTTGTTATATAGAGTTTTTCTCCCTCCAACCATATTGCTTAAGTAGTCTACCGTGTAGAGTTTGTTGTACTTGTGCTGGGGCCGTGGGTCATTCACGAAACATATCTTTTGAGATCAAGAACACGTTGATTAGAGCACAAAACCAAGAATGTAAAGCAACATAAATCTCTTCTTTTGACTCATGTGTGCATCAAGTTCATCACCTCTACTTATAAGAATAAGTACTACAGTCACACTGTAGAAGAGAAACAAAAGAATGGTAAAATACATGTGAGAAAAGTCCTTATATATTCTAATTAGTGTGAGGGACACATTTAGGAGCTGCATCTCCTAGTTTTTCCTATTGGCAATTACTGCCCCCAAACTAATTTTGAAAAACCATATGCACTGGAGTCCATCACTCTAAGGTCCCTGCTTTCCAGTTATAAGGCAGGCTCAATACTCAGCAATGTTATTTGCTTGGAAAAAGGCAAAGAAGGTAAAAAAGCAAGGAGGTTCTGTTAAGTCATGTTACTAGGGAGATCAAGAAGACAGGAAGGGACAATTGCTCCTCCAACAAGGAAGTTCCCATAGTGGCTTGCAGTATGGAGATGCTCTGAATCCATAAGAAACATCCAATACACTTTCCTTTTGCCTTTRCCTCTGAGAAAAGACTCCCAGCCCAAATCAGGGGAGCATGTGAGAGTTAAACTGCTGAACTACAGTCAAAAAAGTCTTTGAAGATGAACACCGGGGAAAGGTGAGAGACTGTAGCATGACCGACTTTATTAGGCACATATAATACTTCAGAGGAAGGGAAATAAAAAGTTTATTTAGTATCTAGTTTGATGACCATGCATGTTTACTCGAGAATCTTATAAGCTTTMTTTATAGTCAACAGGCATTTGAAAGTAAATAGTCAGTGGCTGCCAGTGCCAGCATCCAACCTTATCTTCCATATTGAAGAGCGGCTTGACATGTTCTCTGTAAAACTCCAAGGGTGTTATGGGGCCAATCTTGTGATAATTTTTATCTTTGTCTCGATACTCCCAGGTGAATGTCTCTGGTGGATTACCCAAACAGATGCACACCACACGGAATATCTGGAAAGAGATGGAGAATGAATGAGCAATGGCTATGAGGAAGTGTTTTTTTAACCTAAGAGGAAGAACTTTTTAACCTTTTCATTTTTCTCTAGCCTGGAAAACATGAGAAATTGGCTAAATTCAAGTCAGAAATTTCCCAGAAATCTAATACTGCTCCAAAATTTGTTAAGTTGATGTTCTGGATTTGATATCAGCCAACATGTAAGTTCTCAAATAAACACCCTGAACAATGTAATTTTGAAATGTTAATATTTAGAGCTTAGTACTTGCCCTGTAAATTAAACTTCCTTAGCTAAGAAACTGCCACCACTGATACCCAATAGAATCTCAGTAGTTCTTCTACTGATTAATTTAAGTGACAAAATAATTTATAATGGATTTCCTTCTCTTTATGCATTGAGGCTTTCCTCTGATTGTGACTTTTTTGCCCTAAGAAACTTAACAAGACCCTGTCTCAAACAAAAAACAAAAACTAAAATTTTGGGGATATGACTCACTAGTTAAGCACCTCTGGGTTCAATCCCTGCTACCAAAAAAAAAAGTAGTAGTATGGTGATATTTCATCTTTCAACCAAGGCAGTAAATATTATCCCCATTTTACAGATAAGAAAACTAAGGTTCAGGGACATAAATAACTTTCCTGAAGTCACAAAGCCAATAAATGGCAGAATTAAGATTTGAACTTTAGGTTGGATTTCAATGCTGTTTCTAAAAAAAAAAAAAAAAAAAAACATTAAATAAATTTACCACTTACTATAATTTTCTGGGCTTCATACAACTTATCTCCTATAAAAGAATATAAATTTCTTAAGAATAAGGACCCATCATGGATATTTTATGTTCCTTTTAGCATCTAGCACAGTGCTATGTATATGACCTGGATGAAATAAGCAAATCTGGGGGCTGGGGTTATGGCTCAGCAGTAGAGTGCTCACCTATCATGTACAAGGCCCTATTATGTGAGGCACTGGGTTCGATCCTCAGCACCACATTAAAAAAGTAAAATAAAATAAAGGTATTGTGTCCAACTACAACTAAAAAAAAAAAAAAAACCCAGCAGGTCTGGTTCATTCTCTACATATAATGATAAATAATTTTAGAAGCATCACTTGCTTCAAGTCACTTCTCTATTGAAAACTCCCATAATACTTCTCCATTGTCTCCCACAAATCCAAACTCCATGACTTAATTTCTTACATTTTTCCTTCAATGTATATTTAGTAATTATGTAAAGTGCACTAATCTTAAGTGTACAGCTCAATTTGATTAAAAAAAAATTTTTTTTAGTTGTTGTTAGACATTTTATTTATTTTTATGTGGTGCTGAGGATCGAACCCAGTGCCTCACACATGCTAGGCAAGTGCTCTACCACTGAGCTACAACCCCAGCCCTCAATTCAACTTTAATGTACATATATACCCTATAACCATCATTCAAATCAATATATGGAACAGATAGGAAAGGGCTTCTTGGTTCCTTTGCAGTAAATAATCCACAACCTTCCCCCAAACCCCATTTTGATTTCTATAACCATGGATCAGGTTTTCCCTCAGTACTGGAAATTGAACATAGGTATACTCTATATCTCCAGCTTTTTTTTTTTTTTTTAAACAGGGTCTCACTAAGTTCCCCAGGATGGGCAAATAGCAGCTGAGATTACAGGCACCACTATGCCCAGCTAACCATGGATCAGTTTTACATATTCTTTAACTTTGTATACATGAATCACAGAGCACATAGTCTCTTTGGTGTCTGGCTTCAATTGGTTGGCTGACATATCTGTGATATTCACTCAACGTTGCTGCGGGTTTGAGCAATATGTTTTGTTGGTACTGAGGATTAATCCCAGGGAAGCTTTAACACTAATCTATATGCTCAGTCCTGCTTATTTTTTATTTTAAGACAGGGTCTTGCTTAGTTGTTGAGGCTAGCCTCGAACTTGGAGAGCCTCCTGCCTCAGCCTTTTGAGTTGCTGGGATTACAGGTGTATACTACAGCACCTGGCTAGCAATTTGTTCTTTTTTATTTTTTAGTTGTAGTTGGACACAATACCTTTTTTTTTTTCTTTTTTAATTTTTATGTGGGGCTGAGGATCAAACCCAGGGCCTCACACATGCCAGGCAAGCGCTCTACCACTGAGCCATAACCCCAGAGCAGCAATTTTTTAATTTTTTAGTTTTAGGTGGACACAATACCTTTATTTTTTTATTTTTATGTGGTGCTGAGGATAGAACCCAGTGCCTTATGCATGCCAGATGAGCATACTACCACTTGAGCCACATCCCCAGCCCCCTAGTGCAACAATTTCTTCTTTTTTTTTTAGTTATACATGAACACAATATCTTTATTTTGTTTATTCATTTTAATGTGGTGCTGAAGATTGAACCCAGTACCTCACATGTGCAAGGCAAAGCGCTCTGCCACTGAGCCACAACTCCAGCCCAGCAATTTGTTCTTTATGGCTGTGATTCTAAATGTTTACTAACTTAGAAAAGATGTTATGCTTGCCTTTCATCTTCTATTTTCTAAGACAGAACCTTTATTAGCATTTACTATGTGCTTTATAAGCCTGAACAGCTGGTCCACAACTCACCTCTTTTAATGTTGTACTGTCAGATTGGTTTCTAATACAGAAAGAAAGAGGCAAGGCAGCACATAAGCATCTGTGACTGAGTTACTCTTGGGCCAGAGAGTCATTTTGTATTTGCTTAGCACCAAAGCTACAAATGGGAACTTTAGGAATCTGCTATTATGAGAAAGACATTGACTCTGGTAACTATGGTCAGTGACAATGAAGGTGTATAGTTAGAATATATTTAGAGTAGGAAGGTTTTACAGACTAATACTATATACTACTAATAGTATTTTCAACTATTAATTATTTTCACATACATATGTGTATATATGTTCATGAAACCATTTTGATAAATTCTCAGTTATCCAAGGATGGTAAATCAAGGACCTGAACAAAACAAGGGGGAATCYAAGGCCAGGCCCAATGACGATTAAGAGAACTAAGTGAATATCTATCTGTTTACTTTTAAATATACTTTAAAGATAGATACGAATGTTTTCTACTATAGTTTTCATAGTATCTTATTGTGCATTTGACTCCCTGCTTTAGGTAAAAAGTATTAAGTTACCCCCTTCTTCTCTCAAAAAAAGCATCAGAGGGGCTGGGGAAGTAGCTYAGAGGTACAGTGCTTGCCTAGTGTACATAAGGCCCTGGGTTCTAGCTCTAGCACCATTAATAAAAAAAAAGAAAAAAGAAAAAAAAGCATTAGAGGAATTCACATTTTGTTTCTGCTATTTAATGAATTTTATGGTGAATCCTTTTGCAAAACAACATTTAGCCCTACTGCGTATGCTTTATAAATCTGAATTTTATCAAATATATATTTAAGATATACGTGAGGATAAGAGTGACATTCCTTCCTCTTAGATTCTGGTAAAACTCTGTAACTTGAAATATGTGGCTTTGTTTTATATTATTTGTTTACCACAACTGTAAATTATCCAAACATTCATATTTAAATCAGTTTGTAACACGTTGGAAGGAATATTTGACTATGAATCAAATAACAATACTCTTTTTTTAGAGATTGAACCCACAGCCTCACTTATTTAGTTAGTTAACTAAACTCTGATTAAAAATCTCCTAAAGTATAATCTCCAAGGTCCTGGCACTACATTTTCTTGAAAAGAAACTGCTGTTCTGAAATAACATTGCTTATTCTCAATGATACAAACCATCAGTGCGCTTTAGATATACAAGTCTGCTCTCTAGTGGGCAACACAGGAATGTCATCTGCTTCTCACAAAATGCACTTGGCATTCAGGACAAAACAAAAGATACTGGCTATTGAACACAAGTCAATATAGAGAATTGAATAAAATAACAGAACAACCATAATCTCAGAATACTTTTGATCTTCCTCTCCTTCATTTTTAATTTTATTTTTTGTTAAAGTGATGCTTTACCACTGAGGTACATCCTCAGCTCCCCTTTCTTTTTTAAATTTTGAGTCAGGGCCTTGCTAAATTACCGAGTCTACCCTCGAATTTGTGATCCTCCTGCTTTAGCCTCCCAAGTGCTGGGATTACAAGTGTGTGCCTCAGCGTCCAGCTCTTTACTTTGTTTTTTTTCCATAACACTTATGAAAGTATATAAGCATATTATACTTCCTATATATTTTGTCTCTCTCTACTAGGAAGTAAATTACACAAAGGTGGGGATTTTAATGTTTTGTTCAGTATTGAATCCCCAATGCCTAGAACGGTGCCAGGCACATGTGAAATATTTACTGAATGTATGACTTGTGATTTTAGATAAAAAATGTCAGTCCCAACCTAATAAAAAGGTATTTAAAACAGAGTAAAGTGGGCAGACTAAGGGAATATGAACTTTCCAAAATGCTGAAATACTGAAGGCAGAGAGATATATGGCACGGTGACAACTGGGAACTGACTGTTTTCCCCCCCAACTCCCCAATCTATTTATATAGCTTATAAATGTGGTCTTACTGATTTTGAATTTTTTAAAAAATTAAAACAGAAGAAGTAAATGTTTGTAATTATTCCTTTAAATACAGATTACTGGAAAAACTTCTAATTTTTTTGACTCACTGAGATCCTTCTCTTGCACCTTTGACTGGAGGTAGGGTCAAGAAAAGCCATGCTGAGATACACTGCATCTATACCTGCCAATTAGGGCCATGAGGCTTCTGATTTTAAGATTTTATATTCTTGCTAATTTAACTGGAAATTTAAACTAATCGTACTGTGTGGCTAAGCATATGTAATCCCTTTCTATCAAGGAATTACAATTAATTTAAAAACAATCTCTACCAACTTAAAACCAATCAGAAAAGCTGCCCTTGGTATCGAAAAAACGAAATTCCTGTCTCTATTTAAATACATCTTGTAGAAGGCAGAATATAAATAAGAGAAAAAGGTCTTAACTCTCAAGTCTGATTTTATAAAGGAGCCATACTGAA